TGTTCTTCCAGAGATCCTGAATTCAATTCCCAGCAACCACATGATGGCTCACAACCATCTATAATGAGATCTGGTGCCTTCTTGGTGTGCAGGCAGAATACTGTGTATGTAATAAATAAATAAATCTTTAAAAAATTAGATAGTGAGAAAACAAATAACCCAATTAAAATTGGAATACAGAGCAAAATAGAATTTTCAACAGAGGAAACTAAATGGCTAAGTAGCACCTAGAGAAATGCTCACCATCTTTAGCCAGCAGGGATGAAAGTCAAGCTACATGAAATTTCTTCTTACATCTGTCAGAATGACTAAAATCAGCAAAACAAGTGACTGCTCATGTTGGCGAGGATGCAGAGTAAAAGAAACACCCCTCCACTGCAGGCAAGAGTGAAAATTCATACAGTCACCATGGAAATCAGTGAGATAGTTCTTCAGGAAGATGGGACTACCTCAAGTCCAGCTATACCAGTTTTGGGCATATACCCAAAAGGATGCTTCAAACTACCACAGAGGCACTTGCTCAACCATGTTCATTGACTCTCTATTCATAATAATCATACATTGGAAACAGCCTATGTCATCAACAAATGCCTGAATAATGAAATTTTGATTCATTTACACAATGTAATATTACTCAGCTGTTAAAAAATTAAACTTGTGAAATTCAAAGGCCAATGGATGGAACTAGAAAAAAATCATTCTGAGTGAGATAACACAAACCCAAAAAGACATGCTATGCATTTGCCAATACATGGATGCTAGCTTAAGTCTTCTACAGGCATGGTACAATCCATATAAACACAGAAGTTATGTATTAAACAAGGGACTAGGGGGAGGAAAGGATTTCCTGAGGAAGTGGATAGAAGAGATAGGGGATAGCTGGAATGGGAGGATTAAAAGAAAAGGGAGAGGGAAGAAAAAGGTTAGGGAGAGAAGATAGGAAGATCAGCTAACACTAAGGGCCATTTGAAGGGTCATACATATACCTACTACCATAGAAACTTCTTAAAATATATACATATATAAAAAGAAATCTAAAAGGGATTGCTAAGGAACAGGAGAAACAAAGCCCCAATTGGACCTCTCTTGCCACCAAATTAAACCTCCAGTGCCAGGAATTAGTTACAGCTAACTGAGTTGTTGGACAAAGGGGCACCATGTGAATCCCCAAGCAACTCAGGTTATTGTCAAGGTTATTGATAGCTCTCCATAGCCTAATAGTAAGGCCCTATTCCTGATGACACCTACATAGCTCACTGAACATGGAGAAGTACAGCTGGTTCTTAACCAGAGCCTTCACCCCTACTGGTGTTAATGGTACTAGGAGGTACTCTGCACACTACTAAAGGAAAAAGATAAACACCAACCCAGCTCCCAGCTCCCAAAACCATGATCTACAGTGGTGACCTGTCTGAATGATATGCTGATGAAATAGTGACACAAAAGTTGTGGGATTAACCAACCACTATTTTCGTAATTAAAGGCCTAGTCCATGGGATAGAACCCATAGTCTGACACTGCTCAGGTAGCCAAGCAATAGACAGGCCGTGGACCTAGTGGAAAACCAAATACTGTTCTGCAAAAGCAATCTCATCTCCAAAAATATTTACATTGTGATTCTTAACACTAATACAGTTATAGTTATGAAGTGGCAATGAAAATAATTTTCTGGTTGGGAGTCATCCCAACATGAGGAACTGTATGAAAGGGCCACAGAATTAGGTAGGTTGAGAACTGCTGTGCTAAAGGAATGTACCAATAAAATGACTCCTCATGGCATTCTTTTCTATTCATACATCAGTGTCTTACTCTGTCCATCCTTGGAGATGCTTCCTGCAGCAGAACAAATACAGAGACCCATAGCTGGACAATGTACAGAGACTGAGAGACCTTGGGACACTCAGTCCTAAATGGGATGTCTTCATTAAACATGAATTTAGAGACTGAGGCACTAGGCACAGCACCTGTAGAATGCACAGGACTTCCAAACCAGGATGGTTCCCAGTGCTGAGAGGAGAAATGGACACATGATCCCATTCCTAACCAAGAAGCTACCTCTAATTGATAACTGATAGCAAAGGATAAAAATGGTTTTCTCCAAGGGAGTCTCATTGGGTATACAAATGACACTTAAGTGCAGGCCCCATGTACATCAGTTGACAGCTAACAAAAAATGAACTCTTTGATACTAATGGAGATTTGGAGATATTTTGTCTCATAATGCTTTATTTGGGTTTTTCTTTTCTTTTATGGTTTCTGATTTTTGTGTTCTTAAGGTTTTCTTTTTTTTTTTTTTTTTTTGTTTTTCGAGACAGGGTTTCTCTGTGGTTTTGGAGCCTGTCCTGGAACTAGCTCTTGTAGACCAGGCTGGTCTCGAACTCACAGAAATCCGCCTGTCTCTTCTGCCTCCCAAGTGCTGGGATTAAAGGCATGCGCCACCACTACCTGGCTTTTAAGGTTTTGTATATGAGTATGCATGCACATCTACCTCTATGTGTATGTTTTTGGTGAGCTTTCTTTAATGTCTCCGTTTGCTCCTCTTAAATTATTAATGTTTTTCTTTTTATTGACCTGTTTATTTTCTAGGGAGAAAGAAAGGTGCAGAATTGGAGTGGTTGGGAATATCTGAGAGGAGATAAGGGAGAGGAAATCATGACCAGACTAGTGTTTTTTTGTTTTTTTTTTCTTTTACGAGAGTTGCCATGGTCATGGTGTCTCTTCACAGCAAGAGAACCCCAAACTGAGACACAAGTTGATACCAGAAGTGGCATATTACTGTGACTGGCCTGACTGATTTTTTTCACAGAAAAATATGAACTTTAAGAATTTGGATTAGAAGAGCAGTTGAATGTGGGGATTAATGCACCATCCTATTAAGAACATGGAAGACAGTAGTGTCATTTGAACTGTGGGAGCCTGGCTCAAGAGGTTTCAGAAGAAAAAAAAGTATATGGTCTAGATTATTCCTGTTATGGCCATGTGGCTGCTTTGGTGAAGAACGTGTCTGATTTTTGCCCTTGTCCAAAAAAAGTCTGCCTGAGACTAACCTGCAGTTTTGGCTTAATTGCATTTGCAGAGAAAATTTCAAAAGAGCCTAGTGTCAACTATCATGTGGTTTTTAGTGGTCATGTTTATAAAGATCTATAATAAAAAGGAGCAAGCTGAGCAAGAAAAATTACAAAATAAACAATTTCAGGAGAAAGGGTACAGGAAGTGGAATGGAGCTAATCCTGTGTTTAAGAAGATAAACATATTAAAGAAAATTGGGATGTTAAATGGAATAAACCCAGTTAAGCTTCCAATTGTAAAAAGGAATTAAGCAGCAGTTTGGATCCAGGTATGGTTTATAGCCCTTTAATCCCAGCATTCAGGAGACAGAGGCCGGAGATCCCCGAGTTCAAAGTCAGACTAGACTATAAAGCAAGCTCCAGGAGAGCCAAGTTTAGGCAGTGAAGGTATCATGGAATACAGAAAGTTGTCGAGGGGGCCATGTTCCAGCCCTAGCAACCAGAACTTGGCAGTTTGGGCCATGTGGTTCTGGCTTTACAGTCAAGGATACAAGTAAGAGATTATAGACTCTCCCTTGTAGATGGAGCTGCGGGCTTCATTCCTGCCACCCAGCTTCTGGCCGCCTGGCTAGCTTATGCCCCAAAATAACAACACATAAACTGTATTCATATAAACACCACTTGGCCCATTTCTATTAATGTATGTAGCACCACGAGGTGGTGACTTACCAGGGAGATTCTAGCCTACGTCCATCTTGGGTTGGAGCTTCATGGCATCTGCCCCAGAGAGGAGAGGAAAATGGCATCTGAGCTCACTTCCTCTTCCTCCCAGCATTCTGTTCTGTTTACTCCACCCACCTATGTTCTAACCTATCAAATGGGCGAAGGCAGTTTGTTTATTAACCAATGACCTTCCTCCATCACTCCCTCTTAAAGTAAGGAAAGCTGCTAAAATCAGACATGTGGCAGAGATGTCCCTGATTGGAGGCCCAGGGAGGGTATTTTATGAAGATGCATGGATTGCCTTGAAGACCCCAAGATGTTGGAGATGCCAAAGCTGTGGGATACCTGGCAAGGAAAGCTGCTAACAGGGAATGTAAACAGCCCAAGTGAAAAATGTATGGTTGCAGTCAACAAAACTAAAAGGAGTTGGAGATCTGAAGTGTTTTGACATCAGACATGAAGATTCAAAGTTTGAAGTTTGTCCAGCTGGTTTGGGCCTTGCTTTTGTCCAGTACTTCCTTACTATGTTCTCTTCCTACATTTTGGAATGGAAATGTATATTTTGTGCCATTATATATTGGAAATATGTGATGTTCTTTTTATTTTGATTTTACAATGGATTATAGTTAAAAGATTGCATGAGTCTCAAAAGAGATCAAATGCTGTACTTTTAAACATTGGAACTATAGAGTATATAGCCTTTTAAAGTTTGACTGAATGAATTCTTTGCATTTTGTTATGGCTAAAATCCTATGGGGGTCAGGGAATGAATGTGGTGGTTTGAATGGGAATGGTCCCACATACTCTTGTGTTTAAGTACTTGGCCCCAAGGAAGTGAGGTGTGTCACTGTGAGGACAAGCTTTGAGATCTCCTGTGCTTAAACTATGCCCAGTGTGGGACACAGACCCCTGCTGCCTGTGGGTCAAGATGTGGATCAGCTCCTTCTCCAGCACTGTGTCTGCCTGCTTACTGCCATGCTTCTCACCATGACAATAATGGACTAAACCTCTGAAACTGTAAGCCAGAACCAATTAAATGTTTTTCTTTATAAGAGTTGCTGTGTTCATGGTGTCTCTTCACAGCAATCAGAATCCAAACTAAGACACAGTATGAAAAATTTTTTAATTAAAAAAAGGGGGGAGGATCAGTATACGTAATATGTTTGGTATGTAGCTCAAAGTCTAGCAAAGTTTAGGTTCCCTAACCCACTTCCAACATGGTTTCTACCCATGCTGTATCCTTAAATAATACAGTTTCAGAAAGACAAATTTCTTTCTAAGGTAGAAGCTTTTAATAGAATTATAAAAAAATAACACTATTTCAAAATCAGAATAAGGAATTACAGGTATGTTTTCCCTCTACATACCCATATTCAAACATGATTTCTAGCCATTCATAAATTAATGAGGAACAAATACAGAATCAAAGTAGTGTGTCAACAGAAGTGTTGTAATTAAAGCTATCATCCTAGAAAACAGGAAACACAAAGTGAACTTGTGCAGCCATTTCCAGCTCATTGTGCAAAGCACTTTACTGTCATAAACTACCGTCAGGACACTGAAGGCAAATCAGCAAGCCCTTTGCTTTCAGAATTCAAAAGTTTAATCATTCTGAAGGGGCAAAGACAAAAATATACTGCTGTATAAAGATCAGCCCCTTACTTACTGCAGGATTTCTCTGAACTTCGGATTCTAAAGTAAGAAGTTACCATTTCATATTCTTGTAGATATTAAGTTAAGCAAATGATTCCCCTAACCATAACACACAGCTACTTCTATCATTTCAACACCATTTTACTGATGCAGAGGGCATTTCCCCCATCTCTCAGTCTCAAATGACTGTTCTTCACTTTAAAAAAAAAATCAATCAACAATTTATTGGGTCACCATCATGGACTACTGTCACCATTTGGCACTGGTATGATTTTTACTAGCTTCTGCCACTCTCTTATATAACATTTCAGTGTATGATTGAAATGGCAAGTTCTCTATTCAAACTACAACAGATTTAAAGGGGGAACTAAAGCTTTCCAAATTGCGTATTCATTCTTGAGGGGGGACTGACTTTCAAAGTTATTCATTTTAAACAATCTCAGATAGTCCCAGGATTGCTTCTAAGTCTCATTCTACTGATAGACAACACCATGGATATAAAGTACCTACAATCTCCACCACTCCCTATATTCAATAAACTACACAGTAATGTCTTACAGTTATATGCTTTTGGCCATTTAAATATCTATGCACATAAATATCTGAAACTTTAATATTCCAAAACTTTAGAAGATAGCACAGTTAGGCCAGGGATAGGTTTCTCAAACTTGGTACTAGTGATACTTTGGGTTGGGTAATTCTTTCCTGTGAAGAGGAAAGCCAGGCATTACATGGTATTTAGCAGAGCCTGTAGCCTCTACTGATGTCAGTAGAAGCCTACACCCATCTACTTTGACCACCAAAAAACATCTCCCCACATCTCCAAATGTCTTCTGGGAGCCCAAACTCCACTTGAGAATCATTGGGTGGGACCTTCACTGTAGACATTATTGCAAACTTGGGGCGCACAAATAAGACAGGACTCTATGCAATATTACTAATGTGAAAGAGTCTAGCAGATCCTCTGCTATTTGTTTATGGTGGGCACAGAGTTTATACAATATACTATTGAACCACATGGCTACCTATGTGTCACTATCTTTTTTTCCTACTAAAAACACTAACATCAGACAGGGGTGGCGATGGGGTAGCTAATTCACCAACCACATTTACATGGACTGATTAGGAAAGCTACAGTTCATAAACCTTTGCTAAGCAGAGGACGGAGAACAGTCAAGGCAAATGCCCTTCTTTCTGAATTCGCAGTCTCTCCTTCTCCACCTGCAAGCGCTCCTTTTCGATCTGCAGCTTCTCAGACTCAAACTTCAAAAACTGCAGCCGATCTTTCTCCAGCTGCAGGCGCTCTCGCTTGAGTTTCAACTTCTCCGCTTCTATGTCCTGTGGCTGTAGTATGGACTTCTCCCCCTGGCCAAGATCGTTCTCTAGGGCGGGTTTCTCAGTGCTAACCAACTGCAGCCTCCACTTCTCTCTCTCGATCTGCAGCCGCTCCTTCTCCAGCTGCAGACGCTCGTGCTCCAGGTCCAGGTGGCGCAGGCGCTCCTTCTCTATTTGGAGCCGCTCCTTTTCCACATGCAAACTTTCTGCCTCAATATCCAGTCGGCGTTTTTCCAGCTCCAGTTTCTGTTTCTCTATATTCATGAGCAGATGAGGCTCATCATATGCAGGTCTGGACGGTGTGGAATTGAGGGTGAAAAACTCGTCAATGTGAGGGAAGTCAGGGAGCTCACTTTCCCTCCTGGAATCTGGTATGACAGATGACAACATTTCTTCCTCTTCCTCAATCTCAAACTGAGAGAAAAGAAAAAGGACAATTTGGTATTTGCTTTTACTTCTATCATTGTCAATTTGCTCCATTATTAGCTTTTAATAATTATTATTTCATTTATTATTTATTTATGTGTATGTCTCAATGCAGGTGAATGAAGGCCATAGTACATTTATGGAGGTCAAGGGACAGTGTTTGTTTCGTTATTTCCACCATGCTGAAGCAGGGTCTTTTAGTGTTTTACTCTGAGGCAAACTCCAGGCTAGCAGACTGGAGGCTTCAGGTCTATTCTTCTGACACTGTCATTTGAGTGCTGGGATTACAGATACATGCCACAGCACTTAGAATTAACAGGGATCCCAGGGCTTGGACCATTTACCCACTGAACCATCTCCCCAGCCCTGCCTTACTAATTGACAACTTTCTATGCTGTTGAACTATTGAGATTAAATGAATCACCTGATGTCACTAATATGCATGTTATCACTGATACCTCAAATGTCACCATCACATTTAGGTGAAAAGACAGGCATTAAGGACACCGGGAGAAAACAGAATGACTGGTATCTATAGCTTCCTCAGCATGTGTGGGCAGCTGACCAAAAAACATGCCTCACGGGTTAATACTGTGAATATACTTACCTCTGGGCTTTGTGGGTCCCTTTCTTCCTCTTCCACTTTGACTTCTGTTAGGGATCTACCTGCATCTCGGAAATCCGCCACATTCTGCCAGTCAAAATTTGCATCATTTCGGAATGCAATTTTTTCATCTATCTCTTCAGTGAGAGAGTCGTCTAAATCAGACGTGGGTAGAGGAAACCCAGAACCAACCAGCTTCATGTTGGCCTTCATTCTCTTCCTTTTCATGAGTGCACGCCAGTCAAGGTACTGTCTCTTCACCTCGGTCCCTGTCCTCTGTTCGCCTTCACCTACAGTGTTGAGTTGCTTGGAAAAAATGACTTCCTTCCTTTTGGTAATTTCTTTCAAAAGGGCCTGAATTTCCTGAACACTAAAATTGCTTTTCCTTTTCCTTTTCAACTGCTTCATTTTTAAAACTTCAGGGCAGGTTTTAATAGCAGGAATACTTGTGCAAAGAATGCAGAGTATGCTCCAAAGAACGAAGCCCAAGAACAACCCCTTGTCGGCTCTTAGCTAAAAAAAAAAAAAAAATCACTGAGTTTCCATTCATCTAGTCATGAAAGCAGTTTGATATCTGAAGGAGAAATGTAAAAGAGAGAAAAAAAATCAACCTACAATTTCCACAACATACTGCAACCAGTGAGCTGTATGATTAAAACAACTATCTAAAGGCAGCTTGAAAGTACTGGCTTACTACCGTGGCTCAAATACACTCTGAAATTTGATTCTGCCTCAGTTTACCTCAACACACCTCTTAACTATCACAATCTGGGCTCACTGTATGAAAATATTTCTTCAGGAATTCACGACGCAAAGAGTATCCCCCACTGAAGCAAAAATACAGCAAATATACAAGGCTAAATTGAATCAGGAACCTGAAGTCTACTGCTGTTTGAGCTTTCTCTTTTATAGTAATAAGTATATGCTAAACCTCATTATTAAAATTTAATAACAAAGCATTTTGTTACCATCCATAAACTTTTATTTTGTATTTTTCTAGCTTCAAGGATCTCTAAAGAACCAACTGTGCATGCTTACTTATGTCATCAAAAGTATGCCCATCACATCTTTTAGCTTTCCATTTAATATGCCTGTTGTGTGGAATCTTCCAAAGAGTCACTTTCTGAACAAATGGAGGCCAGAGAGAACTAAATGTTCTGAAGAATAGAAATGAACTTGCAAAAATCTCTATCAGTTTCACAAATACACACAAAAAAACAAGTCTGCAAAACCAAAAGATGACTACAAGCATAGTAGTTTTAAAATATACTTTGTAAATTTCTAAATATATTTAATGATATATTGAAGCCCAGTAATTCCAAATGTATAATTAACACCAGCATGCTAGTAGTATCCTTAGTCTGGTGTGGGAGAATTGTTTACATTCTGTCAATTATGTTTTAAATAAATGCTGATTGGCCAGTAGCCAGGCAGGAAATATAGGCGGGACAACCAGACAGGAAGTAGAGGTGGGACAATGAGAACAGGAGTATTCTGGGACGAAGGAAGCTCCTTCCCACAATCCTGCCCAGACCATGGAAGAAGCAAGATGTGACCTGCCCTGCTGAAAAAGGTACTTAGCCATGTGGCTAACATAGATATTAATAATGGGTTACTATAAGATATAAGAGCTAATACGAAGCCTGAGCTGATAGGCCAATCATTTCATAACTTATGTAGAACTCTGTGTGATTTTTCTTTGGGCCATAATGACTGTGGGAACCAGGCAGGACAGAAACCCCAATAAGCAGGCCCTTATTGTTACAACAGTCAAATGTAAGCCTTTTGTGAATGAAATTTAAGAAAAAGTATTTATAAATTATTGAAAGACAATGTAAACTATCGTTATGAGCACAGATTCTGGAGTTAGACTCTCTGGACCAGAAAACTAAATCTGATACAGGAATGGAACTGCAAGACTGATTTCAGACTCATGTAGGCAAGAGAGTCTAAAGTCCAGACCTGGATACATAGTGAGATTTTTCTCAAAATATATACAAGATTGAAGTCCTTAATATAATAATGACTACCATTAACAACACACTCTTATACAGTATCCACCCTTAGATTTTACTGCTCTTAAAAATTCAAGATCAATTTACTATTTACTAACTAGATTTGATTTTTGTTTCGAGAGGCAGAGTTAACAGCCCTAGATGTCCTGAAACTCACTTTTGTATACCAGGCTGGCCTTAAACTCACAGAGATCTGGCCTGTCTCTGCCTCTGGAATGCTGGGATTAAAATCGTGTACCACATCCAGCTAACTGGACTGTTCTAACAGTATTACTAAATGGCATAAATAGCAGCCCTTTTAACCTACATAATCTATGTGAGGTTTTTTTTGTTTTGTTTTGTTTTGTTTTTTGTCATCAATGCTGTTTTGTTTTTTGTTTGATTGTTTTTTGAGACAGGGTTCCTCTGTGTAATAATCCTGGCTGTCCTAGAACTCACTTTGTAGACCAGGTTGGTCTTAAACTCACTGAGATTTGCCTCCCAAGTCCTGGGATTAAAGACGTCCACCACCACCACCTTGCAAATCTATGTTTTAAAACTCCTCAGTGTTGCTTCCAACTGCATAGCCTTCACCCAAAAATGGTTCTCACATCTATAGTTTATATACTATTCGTAGTTGGCATCCCTTTGTTTCCTTCCAACTGAGCTATGCTGAGCTAATGAACTATTTCATTGACAAAATAAATTTCCCTGCATTTTTAACCTCAATGGACTAGATATTAGAACCTTGTGTTGGCTGCTCTTAGCTGCCAACTTGATTACATCTGGAATTAACTAAAACCCAAAAATGGAGGGTACACCTGTAATGTATTTCTGCTTAATTTGACAGGGGAAGATCCCATCTGAATTTTGAGAAGACATGCCTCTAATCCATATGCTTTGAGCTGTGAAACCTACCTTTAATCTGGACGGCACCTTCTGCTGGAAGCCTGCATAAGGACATAGAAGTAGGAAGCGTTTGCTCTTCGCCTCCTTGCTCTCACCTCCCTAGCAGGTCCATTCCTTCACTGGCATTAGAGCCTACTTCAGGATTCTGGTGCATACTGAAGACCAGCTGTGACACCCAGCCTTGTGGACTGAGCAGCTCTATATTCATGGACTTTCCATTCATAGCTAGCCACTGTTGATTAAGCGAGACTCCAGGGAAAACTTTTACCTGAGGCTCTGACATGACTAAATGCAAGAAAGTTTGAGCATCAGTACAGTTGGAGGTAAAATTTGTTAGCTGTTATTTTACTGTGACTGAGTCTGTCTATCTGCCCATTCCATTCTTTGCAAAAGGTACTGTGTATGAGAGGTCTGACTTTTCTTTACTCACTCCCAAGTAAGTTCCTCAAACGTATTTACTGAGCTCCTACCATGCCTAAAGCAGCACTCCTGGTGTCGGAAATGTAACAGGTAATAAGATGCTTAAGTAAGCCATTTCTGATTTCAAGCACTCTTCTCCTTTGTTTTCATCCTGTTCTTACATCAAGGAATTTGGCAGTCACAACCTCTAAATCTCAGAACCCTAATGTCCAATCACAGACAACAGTTGTTTTTCTGGGCTTTCATCCCCAACCATTCTTTACTGTTGGGAAACGGAAATGCTGCACTGTGCACCCACGTAACTACCAGTGACTCCTACAATGTTCTAGCGGGACATTTCCCTCCTAAGGACTAACAGGGAAGATCTTTCTAGGATGTGCCTCACACAGAACTAAGAGATCTGAGAGAAATCAGACAGTAAAATATTGGTGAAAAAAGAAAAATATAAGAAAGAAAAAGATTAAATTCACTAAGCAGGTAAGAAAGAAACCATTCCTGATCTACGAACTTCCCTCCACCACTATCATCTCATTTCAAGAGTGAAGACAATATTCTTACAATACTCGTACAGGAAATATCCCCAATATTCTTACAGGAAAACTACTTTTCTTCCTCTAAAACTTGAGGCGGTAAACACAACTGAAGGTTACAAGGGTCTCCATCAAGGCAGTACTACAGTGGGAAGGTGCAGCCGATGACCCCGGGAAGAATGCTGGGGATCTCATCTCGGAGCAGAGAGCAGGGTGGGGGAAGGCGCTGTGACTCAGGACACTGCTGGGCCCAGTTGGAGTCCATGCAACTTGGAGGGATACTCTTGCTCCCTGAATGTGAGTGAAAGCCTCATCTAGGTGCCCAGCACTTCTGCAGAGGCCAAGGGCTGCTTACCCCTCCTTCCCGGTCAGGTGACAGCCGCGCTTGGGACTTTTCTTCCCAGCCTCATGATCCCGTGCTTCGCAAAACCGAGGCCAAAGCCCGCAATGGGGTCGCCCCACAGGGACCCACCTTTGCAGAGGCTCCCCTGGTTTCTCCAACTCTTTGTTTCCCCTGCACCCCAACACTCACCTGCGACCCCGGCGGCACCATCACAGGATCGCCCCCTGAGGGTGCTGAAAAAGAGAGGCTTCGTGGAGTCGCCGCCCAACAACTTCTGCCTGCCTCTATTGGCCGATAGGGCTGCTCCTCATGGGTTACGGCTAACCCATTGGTCCGGAGGTGGGGAATTGCCTGTCTGCCTGAGAGCCCGCCCCAGGCCAGATCTCACAATGGGAATCGAGTCCCAAACCGGTTCCGGGTTAGTGCTCTGGACACCGCCCCGCAGCGATTCGCCTCCCGCTCGGCGCTCACTCTTTGTCACATGGCATTGTCAATCAAGCGTGCTTCAGCAAAGGATTGGTCCCTAGCGATAAACTCGCCACGCCACTCGCCTGATTGGGGCACTGGCGGCTCCGTCTCCAAACTGTACTCCGGCCCCTGACCCTCGGCAAAGCAAAGTAGAGCCACTTGGGTGACCTCAGCCCAATCCCTGGGCCAGCATTTTCTTCTACTCACCTTGCTGTGACCTCCGTTAACCTCGAACTGTGACAGTGTCTTTTGCTTCTTGAATCTAAGGATCTCTTACTTTTGACCTCAAATGGAACAGTTGGCTTGTGGACAGTTTCTTCAGTGTTTTCTGTCTTCTCAACCCCTTTTCCTTTTAAGCACCCCCGGGGCTAATGCCTCCATTGACATTCTTATAGAACCTGACTTCCCTGTGCTTTGGTTCAAGCATCTTCAGTTCTCCCTGAATAATACCAATGCCTATCCTCCCAGTTAACAAATTAGTCCAGTTGAGTAGCTGAGTCCAATTGAGAAGCATACAGTTCCTGGACAAATCTCCCTAATTTTAGGACAAAGTGCAAACTCCTTAGGAGAATTTCAAAAATCCTAATCCTGCTTTTCTCTCGGACTTGATAACATAATTTTCCTTTTGCTTCCCCAGCTCTTTACTGCCCATGATTCTAGACTCCTCAGTGCCTTGGGACTACCTTCGTCTTGCTGTGTTTCTACCCAGAAAGGCTTTTCCCAAGTGTTCCCACGCTCAGAATTCATTTTGGCAATTACTTTCTAAAACAAGCCTTCCTTTTCAGTTACTTTCTGCTACTTCAATTTACCCTCCAATAAAGATTTGCAAGATGAAAAAGGATATTACGTTAAACTTGAATAACAATTTCAGTGTGACATCCATGTTTTTATTTGTTGACTCTGACAACCCTGCCCAACTGAGACAGCATTGCAACCTTTGTCCTTGACCTTACAGCTCTTTCTTTGCAAAGCAAAGCATCTAGCATATAATAGGCATTTTAAAAGGTGTAAATACATGATAAAATATTATGTATGAATGACAAATCCTTAAAGGTTATTTCTAGAAGAATACTTCCATAAATGAGGAAGTAATTATGAAATATGTTTTTTGAAGATTAATGGTCAGTTTAAAGATTTTACTTATGGTTACTTATGGCTGTCTTTTTAAAAAAATCATATTTATTATTTTTCCCTAAGTAGAACAAAATTGACTTTTTTCTTTTCTTTTCTTTTTCTTCTTCTTTTTTTGTTGTTGTTGTGTGAGGGTGTTATTTTTTTTCCAGACGTGGTTTCTCTGTGTAATAGCCCAAGTTGTCCTGGAACTAGCTCTTGTAGACCATGCTGCCTCTGCCTCCAAGGCATGCACCACCACTGTCTGGCTATAAAATTGACTTTTGCCATTTTGGGAGAGATACAGATACTTTGGTTTTTGAAATTTTTGCAACAAATCCCTTCATATAGTGGAAGCAGCTGTCCTGAAACTTTATAATCCCCCTGCCTCAGTACTACCATAAACACCTAACCAAAAAACTTGTATTCTGTACAGCAGGAATAAAAGTCCTCACCTCAGAGTTCACTCTAGTGAGTGATTCAGCACTATTTATCAGGTCAGCAAATGTTGGATGACCCCAGATATCCATTGTGTTTACTCCCTCTCTTTACCAATCTCCATGGAAGTCGTGGAAGTACTACATTTGTAAGTTAAGTTCTTTATTTGTATTTTACCTGAGTTCTTTGTTTGTAGGCAGTGGAAATGACTATGATCAACACACAAAATACAGAAGTCAGAAAGGTCCAGAGTTTACCTAGAAAGCTTGCCTTTGACTACTTACATTTTTGCTGTTCTTAAGGGTAAGAGACATGATTGCTCACAAGATTTTATTTTTTCAGCTATAGAAGCAGTGTGTTGAAATGATTTTTTTTCTGTAGAAAGATAGCTAAGAGACACAGAAAAAAGTGGGGAGAAAAGCACTGAGTGTGATTCACTAATAAATACAAAGTATTTTTTAATCTATCCCCCCAAGCACCTGAAAAACATACCTTTCTACTGCTTGACTCATTACACACACACATGTATGTATGTATGTATGTATGTATGTATGTATGTATGTATGTATATAAGTAGTATTATATATCTACTGCTTGACACACATATGTGTATGTGTGTTTGTGTATGCATATTTGTAGCAGGCTTTTTTCTTTTGGGTTACCGACCAGCTCCTAGATCATGACATGGAGACTTATTATTGGTTATAAATGCTCAGCCTTTGTGTACACTATTTTTGGCTAGCTTTTTTTTTTTTACCTAAATTAACCTGTTACTCTTCATCTACATTTTGCTTCAGAAATTTTTAGCATTCTTTCTGTATGTCCTACTCTGTGTCTGCTGGCTGACCCTAGGTGTCTCCTTCTCTTTCTCCCTCATTCTTCTTCCTCTCATTCTTCTCTAACATAGATTTCTCCTCCTATTTATTCTTTCTGTCTGTCAGCCCCACTTGTCCAGCTCCTTCCTAGCTATTGGCTGTTCAGTTTTTTATTAGACCAATCAGGTAAAACAGCAACACCTTTACATAATTAAAGAGATGCAGAATAAGCAAATGAAATACCCCCCCCATACTTGAAAGAACCCCGTACCCACGTACTATGTTAAACTCTGCTGAAATTTAGCTACCCCCCCCACACTCAGCTGATGCTAGAACTGGATATCTATGGGTTGCAGACTTACTGACTAGGCTGAGGAGAGGGAATCCTCCACCCCAAGGCATTCTATCTAAACTGTCAACTTGCTGCAGAGTGCTCTATCTAGCTTTGTGGTTTTTTTGGGGCTAAGGAGAGGGAATACTCTACCCCCAAGACATTCTATTGAAACTGTCAACTTGCTGCAGAGTACTTTATCTAGCTTTATGATTTTTCAAGGAAATTCGAGAATAGACATGGGGCCCGTCCCCAGGATGAGGTAAGCCCACCAATTTGAGAGTAAATGAAATGCTTGTACTATACTACCCTCTTATGTAATCATTTTTCCCTATAAATATGACTGTTTGAATTTGCCCGGGTGTGCTCAGTTGGCGTAAGCTGCTGGTGCACCCACAGGCACCTGTGTGATCAATAAAGAAACCTCTTGCTGATTGCATCTGTTGGCCTGGATTATTGAGTCTGGGGGATCTCTCCCACTGCCCTTGAAAACGAGGGCTTTTCAGTATTTGGACTGAAGCAACTCCTAGAGGAGGGAGCTTTGAAATGGAGCTTTCTGCCCAACATTCCAAAAATGGATGCCAGGGGCTGGTGTGTAACCCCCGAATGAAACAGTTTTTTTCCCCAGAACAAAAGCAAAGAGATTTTTCTGTGGTGTGTATATTAATAAAAAATGTCAAATTTTGATCATTTTAAGTTAAAAATTTAAATTATTTCATGTTTATTTAAAGAGAAAGCTATTTTATGACAAAAATACTTTTATTCAACTTTATGAATTTTTAAAAATCTTTTTTACTTTTTTTTGAAGGCAGTTCTCCAACTTTATTGAAGATTCAGTAGGTTAGTTCTTATCCACATTGACTGTCTGTAGACTTTTGAATGTGGTAACAGACATGTAAGTTACCAATGTTTAGAGCTTGTTTGGTGAGTCCTCATCCTTGTTACGTTTTCTGGACAAATGTACCTGGATACGGTATGGAACATTCCTTATTCCTTTGGCCCAGAGGGCTTTATTGAGCCTGGTATCAATCTGCACATCTGGAGTCCCCATCTCCTTCATGGCAAATTTCTAGATTTCTTTGAGAGCCCTAGAGGCATGCTTTTGGATGTGCTTTGAGTGCCCTAGGGGCAAACCATGGATGCGCTTGTGAATGTTGATGGTGTTTTCTTGGGTCACCACCTCGTTGATGGTAGAATGGCCCTTCTTCTTCTTCTCGCCACCCTTCTTTGCGGGAGCCATTCTGCTGGGACCAAGCTGGAAAGCATCTTTTTACTTTTTAAGCACAATTTTCAGCTTGATTAAAGTGTAGCAAGTATGCGTCATAGTCTACACTTTTGTACTAGACAGCTCTCCCACATATCATGGGTACTGACAACTCCAGCCCTGCATTCTGCTGGGGAATGATAAGGACTTTATTTTAATAGAATTTGGAATAGTGTCAGAATTCAAGATTTCATTACTATAGCAACAGAGAACAATGGAAACACTAAATGTCAAACAAATTCAATGTTACCATAGTAACAATCAGTTGCTTTAACAAATACATTTACCGTTCCTTTCTGGTCATTTTATCTAATATGCTTATCCAATATGAATACTAAAAAAGAAGGAAAGTTCAAAATTGGTTTTTTTAAATAAAAACTCTTCAAGAGACAAAAGCAATTTATTTCAGTCTTTTATTTAATAAGAAACACATGTGATTCAGAAAGACAACCCTAAAAGGGAAATAGAAAGTCTCAGCTTTGTTTCAATCAGTATTCTTCCATTCTTATTTACAGTCAGGAAGATTGAAGTGTGCACTGCTGTTGCAAGACATTTCAA